GAGAGATGGGTGAGAGAGAGAGGGAGAGTGAGAGGGTGATAGAGAGAGGGAAGAAGGGAGCTAGAGAGAGAGAGGCGAGAGAGAGAAAACGTAACTGAGATAATTTTAAAATGAAAACTGCCAGTTTTACTCTTTGCCTATTTGACTCTTTGCTTATTTGACTCTTTGCCTATTTGGACCTTTGCTTATTTGACTCCTTCCCTATTTTACTCGTTGCCAATTTCACTATTTGCCTATTTGTCTCGTTGCTTATTTTACTCATTGCTCATTTAACTCCTTGTCTGTTTTACTCCTTGCCTGATTTATCTGAGATCTGCCCTCTCCACTTTGAACTGTACGAAATGGTCTCAACTAATTTAGCAAGTTAAAGTAGGTTATTTGCTAAACTAAATTTAATAAATATTGCAGTTTACGGAAACTTTTTGCTCGTCTCGTGAGTTTAATTCTCACTAGGTGTTCCACATTGCAACAAGGATCTTGCCTTGTGGATTACATGGTTGCCTATCTAGTACCAGCATAGGTAGCCGGTATTTGAGCCCGGGTAAATGCCAAGATTTAAAACGTTAATTTTCAAGATATTTATAGTGGACTTTTCTGTGCGCCCACGTCACTACCGAAGAAGACATAAGGTTAGGTTAATGTGGGTTTACGGGAATATCGTGCCAAAATTTCGCAAGACCCCTCGGTGCGTCCCCCTTTGGAAACACCGAGTAATCACCCCAGCTCATTCCCGAAGGAGAGTTACTGCCTGGAAGGATAGTTCCCTAGGGATTGAACGTAAAATTATTTTGAAACATCTCGGCAAAAGTGTTAGGGAATTTTGGGGAGATTAGTGCAATACAAATTCCTAACCTTGTTGAACTTAATTTGATTGGTTTTGTTTGGTTTGTTTTACGGCATATCAACCTCTATGGGTTATTTAATGCTGACAAGATTTTTATTGCTGGTAATATTTTTTCAAAAATGTATTTCTGCTAATATTTCTTTTCCCGAAAATGTATTGCTGGTAATAATTTTTTCTTCAAAAAATCATGCTTGGTAATAATTTTTGCAAAAATGTATTGCTGGTATTAAAACCTATTTTTACACTTTCATAATGTTTTGATCCCTGGGGGTTAACTATTTGCCCATAGCTAGGACCCTAATAGATGAATACAATGAACCTGGGAACATCCACGCTCCTCAAAACCTGATCAGTGAACTTTTTGTTGAACGTAGTTTATCGTCTAAACCAGGATGCGTTAATTTGACTTTGTGTGGCACTCAAGTAAAGATTCATAGTCAAGAAGTTGTAATTTGTTATGATTATTTTCTTTACATTTTTCGTGGAGACTGGGGATATTTTGTCATTGGCTGCACCTACGCATTTGGATCTCTAAATTGAACTGTGTCCCATTCTATCCTCGCGTTGTGGGGAGTTAAATAAGTATGAAGAAAACAGAACATACTTTCTTTTAAAACACTTCTAGTTTTCCAAATTGTTACGAGGCCAAAGAATTTTTCAGATAGATTTGAATTCATGATTTACAATAATACTAGTTTAACCGAAACGACAGAAAAAGGCGGCAAATTTTAAGTAATTATGTAATTGATCGATTGTTTATGCTGCAGGATATATCCGGCAGCAAGGACGCTGATTGGGAGATTGGAGGTTTTGAGGAGCGTCAGACTGCCTCTTAATTATTGTTGTTCTCAGGTCTACCCTGACCCTCGGTAGTAACATCTGTTAGGGTACTAGCTACGAGGAAGTAGGGAACTCCCAAGCAAAAAAAAAACAAAAAAAAAAAAAAAAAAAAAAAAAAAAAAAAAACAAAAAAAAAAACAACAAAACCCCCCAAAAAACAAAAAAAAAACAAAAAAAAAAAAAAAAAAAAAAAAAAAAAAAAAAAAAAATATACACACACACTAAGAAAGTATAAGATACATTTTAATAGTAAAAATAAATAATAGTAAAAATACCAGTAATACATTTTTATATAAAAAAATTACCACTAATACCCATTTGTAGTAAAACTGCCAAAAATACCTACGTATAGTAAAATTGCCAACAATATCTATTTATAGTAAATTACTAACAATATCATTTATTATCATTAATTACCAATAATATCTATTTAGTATCTGTCTATATATCTGAGATGAGGTATTGTGTACACTATTTACATTATTCGGACTATTGTCCTCATCTCTGTTGCCATATTTATCACCTTAAGGTCACATGGCACAGTGGATAAAGGCATTGGTTAGATCCAGTGACAGGATCCAAAAAGTTGTGAGTTCAATACCTGGTTAAGGTAATGGAAAACTTGGAGAGGGGAATTAACAGGAGATAACTGATAACTGACATCTACTATTCTATTAGAACAGTCTACCCCAGAGAGCGAAATAAAGGGTTCAGTTCGACACTCCAACCACCTGAAGCAGGCCGGAGCGTACATCGGCCGAAACGTTGTGAGAAATATGGCAACAAAAATGAGGACAATAGTCCGAATAATGTAAATAGAATATCTATTTATGGTAAAATTACCAATAATACACATTTATTGTAAAATTACGAACAATATCTATTCATGGTAAAATTACCAACAATACACGTATATATTAAAATTACCAACAAAACTCATTTATAGTAAAGTTACTAACAATATCTATTTATAGTAGAATGACCACCAATACATTTTATAGCAAAATGACTAACAATACATTTTATTTGTAGTTAAAGGCATACAATTGCGTACAAAATATATTTAGTTGAAGTCATAAAAATTATATTCAAAATATTTAGATTTCGGCATTAAATAACCCATAGAGATGTTGATATGCCGCTAAACAAATTCCATCGACTAACCAACCAAATATTCTGCAAGAGTAAGCAATTAACACTATTGTTGTATTTTAAGAAATAATTCTGTTTTTTTAAAGCATTATCATTTTTTAAATCCGAAAATAACTCTATCAGCTGATTCATTTGTAATTACTAATGAAATATTCGCTTATTTGTGCCAGCTACCATCTCATTTACTAAGTAGGGGAAATGTTTAATTAGATATCTACAGTGGGATTGCTTTCGGTTCATACGGTGTCGCGTGAAAAGTGTTTCCTTTTGTAGTTTGACTGGAAAAGCAGTTTTGCTTGTAACGGGATTGAACGTTGGGTAGTTGTTAATGTAAGTTACCACGTGTTACATGTATTAGTAGTTGATAGAGGATTCCTTTTCTCTTTTTTTTTTATACTGAAAATGAAATGAATAAAACGTACAACAATAATATACAACAATAAGACTTTGAGACACGTGTTGAAATTAATAACAAGAAAATGTATTTATCTTTTTGTGATGTTATTTACAATATTCGTTTTGTGTGTTTTAAATGTTCCCAGTGTTATTGTCGCCTTCGGTTTCTTTAAAATTTGGGCTTACCTGTTTATAATTGTTCTGAGAATTTGGTGGTTAAGGGAAGCCTTTGAAACCGTCAACGTCGATTTTCACGGAGCGAAGAAGATACGTCTTGTCTGTGTTGTTTATTTTACTACTGCTACTTTTGCTTGTGGTGGAAAGGTCGTTTTTAGAATGAGGAAATTTCAGATCTTTATTTCTAGAATGATGAATTATCGTCATCATCATGAATTATAACATACTCATCAATTGATTTGTGGCGAAATCTCGTAAACCTTGAGATCAGCGCCACCATGTTTATCCTCGAGTCAATTTATTCTTATAGACTAATGTTTAGGCCTCAAGGTCCTGGCGTTTGGCCGGTCCTAAGATGCATACAAGCAAGCAATAGCTAGCTTTATAGTAATAGATATAACAGTTTTGGCCATGTGACTTACATTATATTACACTACTGATCACAAACAGTAGAAAACAGTCACAAGTTATGCGTTTTTCTAGTTTAATACAAGCTACAAAAATTTATTGATATTTACACAGCATACCTGAGTACTGTTGAAAGCTAAATTAATGTGTCGTAGGTAGAAAAGACTGTTTTGAGAATCTTCCAAGTCGGCAGGAGCTGCTTGCCGATGAAATCAGCCTTTAAATTTAATTTTTTATTTATTTATTTGGGTTCGAACGTTGACCTCTGGTGCTGGTCTATCTCAGCCAGTTGGCAGACTCTGTATCGACATTTACTAAGCTCAGATTAATACGAAACAAGGCGATTTGGAATGAGCAGGATAGGGGCTGAAAGATTGTGCAACGCCCATCTTACGAATGCGCAGAGGCTGAAAATTATATTCTGAATCCTGGTGTTGAACTTGGCTCGATTATTGATAGGAATTACATGACAACAACAGTCACATGACAGACTACCGCGCATGATCCTCACTCAGAGGAAAATAGTGCTCGAAGAATATATCACATTTTTTCTGGTTTACTATGGAAACTACAAGGATACTTATACGCATCATCAGGCAGAGACAGTATAAATTTTTATGGCACATATTAAGAAAAGAGGGTTCGGAAAATTTGACACTCACGAGACATATTGAAGGTAAGATGAACAGAAGAAAGCAGCAAATAAAATTACCTAACGAGAACAGGGATTAGTAGAGCAAAAACAACAAACTTTATTGAGGACTACAAAAGTTAGGAAGTTGTGGAGAGCTATGATCATGGTTCATAGAAGAAGAAAATGAACCTAATCTAACGTTACAAAATCAATGACAATCGTTTCAAATTCGATTACCTCTTAAATTACCAGACAGAATTCTAATCAATAAATAAATTGGTTCAATTAAATTTTTGTATTTGTGATTTTTTAATTTATTTTCTTTATTATTATTATAAATATTATTACCATTATTATTATTATTATTATTATTATTATTGGTGTGAGTAATAATAAAGATTTACTGATACAACTTCTACTAATTAACGCATAGCTGGAGGGAGAAGAAATGGATTGATAACCTTCTCAATGTTATGATATCCATTATTCGCGCATAAGTAAATATAATGAACCCGACTGGAATTAGATCACGGCTCCGTACATCCAAGCTTTCAACACCTGGTATTCTCATCGGTCACCCATGTAGATACTGAGCTGGTTCGACGTTGCTTAACTTCGGTTATTATACGGGAACCGGTGTTTCAACGTGATATGACCGTAAGCCTGGAATTCGTGTGTCAGCTCTCAAGGGGAGTATTTCGAAGAAAACCAAAGTGCCATTGCCCTAGGTAGGCACGTTATTCGTTTAATATGTGGATACTTTTTGAACAGACCTCGTATGTCGTGTAGTGTTATATATTGCTTTTCTTTCGTCTTTCAGAGAAAGCATTTCAGACAAATAATAATTTCGCCTCAAGGTTGAGCAATAAATTATTTGTAGATTTATAGAGCAAGTTAGAAGAGAATATATTTATACGATTTTTTTCAATATCAGAAATACACTTTTCTCGCATCATCCGTTCGAATGAAAAAATATTTTGAAGATATAGTCATTTCTGTTTTGCTTTTAGTTTTTCCTTACAACTATGGATCAACGCATAAAATTTCGGAATTGTTATCTTGAGGAGAAGGAAAGAAGAAAACACTGTACTGTCTTTCCCAAGGAACTATGGCAATTCACAAATAACAAAGAAACCGCATCTATGGAGAACCATGATCACATCCATTATATATATATATATATATATATATATATATTAATGCATATTTGGGTAGCAAAAGTTCTTTTAATCATCTTTCGTTAAATATAACGGACAAGGAAAATTTTATAAATTTTTTGTTTAGTCTTTCTAGCGTTCTTACATTTTTTCCCATTTGGTGGGAGTGAGGGGATACAAAAACTGTCCAGACCATCGATTGTCTCAAGCTCTTTCAGCCACTTCTTTAGCCATTTTCAAGAGGGTTGTTTTTCGTGTTCTTAGTATATTTTCACGTTTTTACTGTGTGAGCTGTATTATTTGTGAATAATAGTAATTCAGAGCTGTCGTGTGTTGGGCATGGCTGGAATTCGAGTGGGCAACTCCTCCACTACCTTTAAAAATGGCTAAAGAAGTGTCCAAAAGCTTTTAGACAATGGCAATCGACAATATGGTCAGTTTTTGTACTTGCTCAACCTAACTAAATGGAAAAAACGTTTGGAAAATGAAATAAAACTTAAAATTTTTCTTGTTCGTCATATTTAACGATTTATATATATATATATATATATATATATATATATAGTAAATAATTAAGAAATAGACCTTAACTTTTCATGACTATAATTTATTTCATTACCTTATATATATATATATATATATATATATATATATATATAAAAAAAAAGGCTTAAACACTAATATTCCATGGTCATAATTTATTCCATTGTAATCGTAAATACGATCCAATTCATCAGACCTACAAATTATTATATCCTTACTCTGTCCTGAACATTGAGTTCTACCTGGATTCTATCCTCTTGGATTTTTTTTTATTCAAAAAATATATATGTATGTGTATGCATGTATGTATATACATTTATATATTTTGCATATGTATGTGTATATTTACCACTAATATTATCTATCTATCTATCGATCTATCTATCTATCTATCTATCTATGTATATATATATATACTTACTAAATATATCTCTATATATATATTACCTTATATATATATATATATATATATATATATATATATATATAGTGCAGTGGGATAACAGATCATTATTCAAACATATATTGTTAAATATAACAGACAACGAATGTTTGTTATGTTTGATCATGAGCCGTTCTAAACTTCGTATATTTGCTTTAATTTCGGGAGAAAATAAAGACGAAAATTGTCCAACATTTGGATATTTTTTATTATGCTTTTCCTCGATCTAAGCTTTCGGCTCACATAACCCATCATCAGAGTGGTTATATGGACATTATAACAGAAATGTTCCCCTGTTATGTTTACATAGAAGTTTGCTATGCGACGATAACAATCGCGGAATTGCCGAAACGATATTCTATAAAGAATTACATAACATCAAACACTCGTTAATAATGGATGCCCTAATTCCGTCATTGATCAACAAATAAAAATATATCTCAGTGAACTTAATAATACTCCGAACAAAATTGATAATATTAATTATAATCATAACCATAATAGCGTACGTCAAAATAAACATAATATTAACTTATACTGCTGTAACCAAAGGCATAATAATTACAAACATGATGAAACATCACTCAAAAATATAATAGGTAGAATTTTAAATATATTTTATATATTGCTTACTGAGCATCCTAATATAATTGTAGCTTTGACAAAAGGTCACAATTAACTTGAAATCTAGTCCACATACATGCAGGTGATTGTTCAGAAATTGTCCACTTCTATCGGTATTTCTTCTTTAGGGAAGCTTCGGCCATCAGAGACTGAACCCGATGCTCTCCATTTTAATGACCTGCAGCTTGAGGTTTACCCCTAGAGCAAGAGAGTAATTATGCTATTTACAAAGCGTACAACACAATTTAAAATATGTAGGTCATCTAGTGAGGATCATATTCATTACACCGGCAACATCAGGTGAGACTGTGAAGATTTCAAAAGTTTAGTCAGGCACAAGCTCAAAAGATATGGAGGGTTTAGTGAGGATCGAATTCATTACATAATATCTCTGAGACGAGTCTGCGAACTCAATTTCAGAACACTCAAATAAGTATTTACAAGTCTGATCCAAGGCCAGAAGTGTGAGGCATCTAGTGAGGAGCGAATACATTACAATAATATCGGTTTGAAAACTAGCCTGCTAACCTCTACTTTACGGTAAAACGACAGAATAAATATTTACTAAGTTTGACTTAGAATGCATAAGGCTAGACGAAAGGAGCACCCAGTGAACGTCGAATTCACTGTTCAATAATATTATTTGCAAGTGGAGGCATGCTATATTCATAATTATATATAATATCATATATAATATATATGATGTCAAATCGGTCGGGTTTCAATCTCAGCTTGAACCAAGCTCATGTTTAGCTACACTGATGAGCTGTGATACAGCGAAACAATCTGTGGATGACTATAATTATATATAATATATATATTATATATAGGGATATATAATATAATATATTTAATGAAAATATATATTATATATGGGCAATATCCCTAAATTTTAACCATTTTTTTATATATTAAACTATATTTATTAGGCTTAATTTAGTTGATCGCAAATGCAAATGACGAAAAAGGAGATAATATTACTCCAGTCTTCCAAGTGGGGAAGGCCTGCCTAGAAAATCAGCACATAGTAATTTCTTCCACTCTGAAGTAGCAGCCGACGTAATGAATCCAAGCTGTTGCAGTTTTGTCAACAAAGTCCTATTCACCGACATGTTATTCATTCATAGTTTTCCCGATGACAAGACCGGTCTACACTTGTCCAATCCTATATCTTTCTTAATCTTAAACACGGCAAAATACTTGTTCCGACGTTACATTGACTCGTACAAAAGCAGTGTGTGTGTGTGTGGGGGGGGGGGTCGGCAGATATTGTTATGATCGCTAAAACCTACAATGCTCAATATGAAAATTCAATTTAAAATAATTTCATTGCCACAAACAATTTTATAATTTCAGGATTATAGTAATAAAAAAATGCTTTTTAGTTACAAAATGAACTGCGGGATTTAATATACAGAGATGTAACAGTTGTAATATCTCTCTCTCTCTCTCTCTGTATATATATATATATATATATATATATATATATATATATATATATATATTGTGTGTATTTAGGCAGCATATTTTCATTTATACGTTTCATTAAATAATATAGACAAGTGTTGTCTATTTATTTTATGTAAAATTTTTCGTATCTTCTGATAAGTTTGGTAACATTATCATTAACCGAAAAATGAAATTCACAATATTTATCCATTATTTTTTAATAAAATCTAAGCTTTCGGCTTACTCAAGCCATTATCAAAGATGTAATTACAAACATATCAAACAATATACGGACACAACAGTGATGATAGTCTGTCATTGTTTTGTTTACATAGTGGATCACTAAGCAACGATGAACACGCGCATATAAGACGCTAGAAGCGAAAATCGCACCGCATCTCATGACGTCACACATGACTACACGAGAGTGAATTGTAGAATGAAATAAGGAAAGCCGTTGGTATAAACCAATGGCTTCTGTTACGAATTATAGAAATTATAGACATTTAAGAATATTTGTAGAGATTCCATAGTTGATTTTGTTTAGGTTGGGTTTTAACTGTTTGATGTATAATGCTTCAAGTATTTTTAGTTTTTGTCTATTGTTTTCATGTCGAAGTATAGTTGTGTTTTCGACAAGCATTTTACGGAATTGTGTGTGCGGGCAGGCATGTTGTTTTTAAATGCCTAAAAATGTTAGAGTTTTCATTAAAATGTAGTGTCAAGCGTCGTGAAAGCGAGTTTGTGGTGTGACCAACATAAATATTATTTAATTCGTTGGAGATACACTCTCCCAAAGGGCACTTGAATTTATAAACTATGTTGGTTTTTTGCAAATCGCTAACCGGGGAGAAGAATCATTGCGAAGTATTAAGTTGGATATACTAGATTTAGTGTAGTATATGATTAATTTAATTTTTTTGCTAGGATCTGTAGTTGATATATTAGAATTTACTAAATTTTTTAGTATGTGTTCATCTTGTTTATAATTAGTATGCATTTGATTACGATATAGGAGATTAATATATTTGAGATCAGTAGAAGCAGTATTATGTACAATTTGCTTGTTATTGAGATTTCTAAGAAAGCATCTTATTTGTTCATCAACTATATAGTTTGGAAAGCTATTATTAATAAGTGTCTGTTTTATATTCTTTAGTTCACTGTAAAAAATCTGTTTGGTGGATGAATTAGTTTCTGCACGATGTATTAGATTCTTTATAATTGCTATTTTGTAGTAATATGGGCATTCGCTCTTGTAGTTAAGTGTACATGAATTTATGCTTGTAGGTTTTTTGTATGGCGAAATAGTAAATTTGTTATTATTTGTGTTTATCAATATGTCAAGGAAGGGGATTTTATTATTAGTATTGAGTTCATATGTGAATTTAAGGACAGAATTATTTTGGAACCGTTTTTGAAGTTGAATTATTTCATCTGTATTTT